TTTTGAAAATGTTGGCCATTTTTTAAACAACAAAATCAGTATTTTTTAACGTATTTTCTTTATTTTTTTGAACGAGGACTTATATGTGACTTTTATTCTTTGCACTTTCTCTCTCAACTTACTCGTTTATGAGCTACAGGATGCCGAATGTACACCACAAGCCTTTCTTTTAGATATAACACGCTGTAACTCCTAAATGGGGTAGGTTTAGAGAAAAAATGTCACGAATAAAAAATAGCTTTTAAATTCTATAAGAATACTAAAATACAGCGTATTCCATAAGAAATAACAAAGTAGTTGGCCATATTGGAAAATGGTGGATATATATTTTTATTCGTAACCATCCCTAAAAACATTTTTTACAAATAAAAGGAGTCGTCTAATAAAAAGTTAACTCTATATGGAAAATAAAATTTATGTATGTTCGCTATGTAATCACAACCGAGATGAAACGTGTACCCTTTTATAGCAGAATGTCCAATTTAAAAAACGATACGTCAATTTTGGTCTAACAAGGTTATATTTAAATGAATATGAGTTTTTTTGAAATTTTAAATGGCAAAGATTGGCGGGCACTTGGAAATTATCTTAAAGAGGCGTGGAGTAAAGGGTGGGAATTGATAATGGAGTATAATTATTAAATTTAAGAATTGAGACATCAATATAAAAATTGGAAAAAATCTATGTAATTTAAAAAATTAATAAAATACTGTTTGTTAAGTATCTATCAAAGTAAATTATAAAAGTAACAGGTTTGTTTTATGAATTATTAACTGTTTGTAGGAAAAATTCAGATTCTCAGTAGGCTACATTTAAATTGTATTATTCATTCAATTGATATCTGATCTATTAGTATGTAGTGCTATTTGCGTATGTTCTGTAGTGGAAATCAGTTTATTTTAAGAATAATTGTATCTGATTCATGGAATTTTTTTAAACTGTTTTAAAATATTTTAAAATCAGTGTGTCTAACACAAAACAGACGGTCTTTGACCATTGTTCTTTGCATTTAAATAAAAAAACACTGTATTGATATTTTATTACAATGAACACATTTTCTTCTTCTTCTTCATAAATCTATAATAATTCTTTTTAAATATTTATTCATCTAATAATTCTTTTTGTAGATTATCGTAACGCAAAATGATTAATAAAAGATTGCTTTATTATCCTTACCCGTTTTAAAGCTATAGCTTAATTTCTAAGAGACTGTAAATTTATCTAAAAGGGGGGGGGGTAGAGGAAAGCACAAAGGGGTAGGAGTGGGGACTTTTGGGAAAATGCTCATCTCAACATGGTCTAACAGCATAGAAAAGTTCAGCTTTCCCATAGTTACTTAAAACATCAAACCTATATTGACTGTGGCCTACGTGTACCATCCATGCGCGCCTCGGTACTACTACGAATTTTCCACGTTTACTCTTACTGAAATCAACGTAGCTCTGTTGTTTTTGCACGGATTTCTTTAAACTTGGTGTTGTTGTACTACTTGTTAGTTTTTCTAACCATTAATAGTTTGTAACATGCCCTAAGCAAGCGCAATATTTCCGATATTTCATTTTAAAGTATTTTTAAATTTTATTTTTTGCAATAAATGTTGATTAGCGCCTAAAGGATAAGAGATAGAAGAAAGGTTGTAATAACCTTTTTAAAAGACAATATATTTAGGCGTCGATAGACGCTTAATTCACCTTTCTATCATTAACCGTTTGTGAGTTAGACGCGGAAACGTAAACCAATGGCCCGTGCAACTTCCCCCCCTCCCCCCCGAGTTGTGACCACCCTAGAAATGCGACATCATCGATTTTTTTCATCTACTAGATGTCCCCAACAATAATCAAAAGTCAAATTTTGTCAGACTTTCAGTGCATACTCAACCCGTTTAGCGCCTGGACTACAAGGTTAACATGGAAAACTCCAGGGCCACTGGGGTGGAGCCCGAAATGATTTTTGACATAAGAATATGCCTATATGTTAATTCGGAATGTGAGCTATCACCATAGGCCAAAGAGTGTAACACATCGAAAGCGTCATGTGAATGATACGAGGAAATCTAATATTCATAGCAATCTCGTCATTGGGTTTCTCTCATTGATGGCACTCAAGATGGTTTTACGTATTCCAAACGGGATCACATCATTTGTCCGAGTTTTCAACTGTCCGAGTTTGTTAAAAATTACAAAATATTTGAAAAATCATTTGTCCGAGTTTTCAACTGTCCGAGTTTTGATAAATAACTAATAATAATTAGATAAATCAACTGTCCGAGTTTTCATTTGTCCGAGTTTTTAAATTATTTAAAAAAAATATCAAAATATCATTTGTCCGAGTTTTCAACTGTCCGATTGGGGGCAACATCAAAATGTGACACTGCGCGCCGAGACTAGCGTGTCTAAAGCGCCTGTTCAGAAGTCGATGTGAACCCCTTCTGTGAAGGAGTCTGGCATTGTGCGAGAGCCCCTTCACGTCGAATGAGGAAAAATATTTTATTTTTATATAAGACTAATTTTACAATTATTAATTATAAAATTAAACTCTCATCACCAAACACAACCAACCAAACTTGCTGATAATATAAAATACCCCCGCCATTATTATATTATCAGCAAGTTTGGTTGGTTGTGTTTGGTGATGACAGTTAAATTTTATAATTAAAAATTGTAAAATTAGTCTTATAATAAAAATAATATAATTTTTCTTAAGTCGACGTGAGGGCCACTCGCGGCTCGCACAATGCCTGACTCCTTCACAGAAGGGGTTCACATCGACTTCTGAACAGGCGCTTTAGACACGCTAGTCTCGGCGCGCATTGTCACATTTTGATGTTGCCCCTACTCGGACAGTTGAAAACTCGGACAAATGATATTTTGATATGTTTTAAATAATTTAAAAACTCGGACAAATGAAAACTCGGACAGTTGATTTAACGAAATATTATTATTATTTAAACCATACTCGGACAGTTGAAAACTCGGACAAATGATTTTTCAAATATTTTGTGATTTTTAACAAACTCGGACAGTTGAAAACTCGGACAAATGAACCTCACCCTTTCAAACCGACTATGCATAATTATTAAATGTCTAATAGCATGACATTCAACATTTCCTTCGAGACAGAGTAGAAATATCAAATGGATGAGTGAATTCAGACATTCCAAGAGTCCAACAGCTTTAATCAGACCATTTCAAGTATTCGGGCGATGCTGTTGACCACTGACCAGGTCAGATTTGCGACACAGTACTGTTGTTCTAGGAGCTGCCAATAGCACTTTCACGGGTACCGATGTTTGCCTCATCTGTTCCGCTGCCTCCGCCTCCCTCTTGCAATCAGTTACATATCTCAGCCTCTCTGCCTCGCCTCAACGACCCTGCATAAATAAGAAAGGCGCGAAACAGCTCCTCTGGACTGCATAACGCCCGGGGATTTGGGCTACATATTCCTACCAAGGCCAACATAGTTGTGGACCATGTGGGAGTGTACTGCTATTGACTCTATAACGAAATCTCTGATTTTATGGAAACATGGTTATAATCATTGTATCGATTTTCTTGTATGAAACGCCTACTGAACAGCTGTTGTTGTTGTCTTGAGAAACAGTTAAGAATTGAGATTAAGAAATGGCACAGGACGATGGTAGTTTGATGCATCAATTATTTGAGATGGGGACACTACCTAGGTGCGTATTTCCACCCAACCATGAGTGTAGGTGAGATGATCTGTGTAGCTTTGTTACTGACAAAGATCAGCTATCCATCGGTCAGAAAATTTATTTCAAGTCCAATAATCAGGAACAGCTGGGTCCGGTTTCAAACCATCAAAGATGAAAGATAACATAGATAAAGACTACAATCATTTCTCAGGATCGATCCGCGGTGACCTTTTGATTGTTAGATTAACACTTTGACCACTCAGCTACTAGTATTAAAAAAATAAGTAGAGAGCTCCAAAAGACATTAGTTCTGAAATCATGTTTTGGATGTACAATGGTGACAAAAAAGGATCTACTACACTTACCGGTCATGATCAGCGACTATACTGCGTATACTTCAAGTTGGCCGATGGACCCGGGACTACCTGTGGCTACCCCTATAATCCCTCGCAGCGTTCGCCAGAGCAGCCCGATGTCTAGGCGATGAGTCACCTACTGGCTGTGTTTATACAATGGTAAAACATTTTAACAGAGTAATAATTTTACATTTTCAAAAGTGTATTTGAAATCTGCTAAAAAAGTTATGAAAAATGATATAAAACTCGACCTGAACAAAAGGAGTTAGGCAAGTTATAAGCTGTAAATCAATAGTAATAGGTTAAGTTCAGGACTGTTTGGGTAAAATTAAATTTATCGTAGAATTTGTTAATAGTAAATCTGTTTTAATGAGATATAATAAGCCTAATACGAATTACAATAACAATCAGTCAAAAACCTTATATATACAACATGCTATATACTGTACAATGCAAAATACTATACAAAACAAATCATACGCATCAATAAAAAAAACAATACTGTACAACAAATTATTAACTATTTAACCAAATTAAACCTTCAGTGGTCTGTAATTGCTTCTGATAGTTTCACTGGCAAGGTCTTCTTAAATATGGATTCTTGTGTTCTCTCTGCAAGAGAAAAAAGTCATTAAGTAAATAAGTAAGTAAAAAGTAAGTTACGATTTGTTTGTAACCAAATTGACTGACGAAAAATTGAAAACCATTTATTTAATTTGAGCAAAGTTGTCAGCTGAAAAATTCAATTATGCTAGAAAAACATCTTTTCAAACTTCTTAGTAAAATAAAATAGAATTAAGCTAAAAAAAAACAGATTATACACGGTAATTTATGATAACTATAATTTTTATAAATAATAATACGTTTGTTTACAATCTAGTATTTTAATAAGTAGAAGTTTTTATAGTTTTAAATATTAAAATAATTCTATTATTAAAACTAACTCCACAAAACTGATAAAAATACTTTTTTTAATAAGGGAAATAACTTACTCATTCAAGCTGAGCGACTCCCAAGTCGTCTTCCTCATCGCTGTCCCAGTCGCTGTCATCCACATCCGAGTCCCCTGGAGCCAGGTTAATGATAAGTTCCTGCACACTGGTATCGTCGAGACCTTCACTAAGCCAATCGTTGTCCATTTCAGTCTTCACGTGCTTGACACATTTTTCCCAGGTTTCGGGGGGATAGGAGTTCACAGCTTCCATGAAGAGTGCCTGAACGTCTGACAACTTGAATGTGGTGTTCTTTGATGCTACGTACCGCTTCAAATGGCCCCATACCATTTCAATGGGGTTATAATTACAATGATATGGTGGAAGTCTGATTACTCTAAATCCTAGGTCAGCAGCTTTCTTGTCAATAACATAGGAAGTAAGCTGAGGCTTGTGAAGTTTGATGAGATTGTAGAGTTCAGGCTTACGCATATCTGGAGTAAATGGAATTCCACGGTTATGCAACCAGTCAATGTACTCCCCTTTTCTAGACGATGTTGTTGGTGCTGGATTATCCACACCATATTTTATAAGTCAAGGCTGTGTGCGAGACACACGATGACTATAGTGTTTAACTTGACCGTCACTAGTAGTGAGGAGTGAGGAGTGAGGAGTGTGAAGTACTGTATGAAGTGTGAAGTGTGGACATAACAGTGCTTTACCGCAACCACAGCGGTACACGCCCCTCAGACACCTGCGGTAACTAACACCACATTCATCATGTGTTGGGCTACAACTCATGTAAGTAATTACACACAATTCAAACTGGGCCAATGTGCAACATCTTTATTCTTTTAGAAATTATCATGCATTTCCACCTTTCAAGGAGTAGACCCTTACATTTTTTGCCAAGGGTGGTGTGCTGCATTCAGGAACAAGGCAGTTTAAATTTTATTATTTTAAAAGTGCATTAAGTTTAAAATGTTACGATTACGCGTTAGCCACAACATGTGCCCTCCCTAAGTCAAAACATATAAATACATTACATATAACAATTTTAACTAGCTTATCAGCTAACTATTAGGATTGTCTGCAAACAGTCTCTTCACAATAAAAATACCCAAATTCAGCCTAGTTTGTGCAAAAATTGCTCCATCAACATTTATAAAATTGCCCCTATATGAATTAAAACTAGATGGAGACTGTTAACACCATAACTTAATTGAATTACAACAGTGTTTTCAATAAAATATCCTCTTAGTTATATAAGGTAATTACTTGCTTATTGTCTTCTTTTACAGCTTTCAAGCCATAAAAATTCATAAAAAACTGCTTATGGACGATTTATTTTTTACCGGTGAACTGTTACTGAAAAAATACATATCTTTTGTATAATGAAAGTGTATTATTCCATTTTCATTCAACCTAAATGAAGAGTTCTTGAGACAGTTCTAACTAGACTGCCATTGAACAACCATAACGACATTCGCAGTTTGGCAACGCAGTGCGCAGCCGTAGTGCACTGCTTGCACAGCCGCAGAAGCTACTTGCCTCCAGTGACGACACCGCTAATGTCATCTGCCACCTCCTCAACGCGCCACTCATTTTCATTCTTTTGTTTATAATTTGGCAGGTTACGCAGCGGACTCTAGGATACTTGTGCAAGGCACACATACCAACTACTATTGAAGTGGTTGAAGCCCAAATGTACGCCGACGATGAATCCACAACAAACTTAACCATGTTAGCTTCATTAAATAAATAAATAAATAAATAAATAAAAATGCCTTTATTTCCGAGCGTCTCTCAGTACTAATACAACTGTTTTACAGAGTAACTCAGGTCAAAACTAACTAAAAATACAATACTATTATAATACAAGACATCGAGTGATAAAATAAAAATATTAATATATATATACAACTATTTTACAATATTAGTACGTTTTTTTAAGTTTCTTTTAAAAGCCAGGACCTACAGCTGTTAAGTGATCATTTTAAGTCAGCTCACTGAATTAACACTTTAGTTTATGTTGTTAAAATTTCAGCGAGGCTTTAGGTAGAATTATGGCTGAATTATAGGAGGGTACTAGGATTATGAAATTCCAAATGATAAAGTGTGATACAGTGGATATCTTCATAAGTGATCACTTATAGTCACCTCACTGAATTAACACTTTAGTTTATGTTGTTAAACTCTCAGCAAGGCTTTAGGTAGAATTATGGTTGGAACACACGAAGAGAATAGGATTCTGAGGTCACCAATTAGGCCTATACAGTGTGATCCAGTGGGTATCAATGTCTTTCAGTAGGCCTGAAGCGATTTCAGAAGAGAACTAAAACGGTACATTCACCTTTCTCGTAAGAAGAAAAAATATCAGCTTGGTAAGTATGTTTATATGAGAGCCGCCCTCTTTCCTGTTGTCTTATGGATAATTTTTTTCTACCTACACAGAAACAAAAAATTAATAAACGTTATAAGTTAAAAGGAGCAAGTGTTCGAGCTTACCTTACTAATAGAGCAAGACAAATAACACATTTGTACTCAATAGTGTAACTGTTTGCCTACCTTATAAACGTGGTACTAACCTAAATCTTTTCAAACCACACCACAATGTTGATTTACATAAATATTTACTCAGGCAACATTAATTTAAGTAGTTGACTAAAGTAAAGGTCAACTAGAAAACAATTTGCCGAGCCATTATGAAAATCTAGGTTTACATAGTATAACAATTACGCACCTTTCGTTTTCAGCATTGCAGCTCACTGATGGAATTGTGGTAAAATAAAATGTCTCATATTCATACTATCATGAACACGAGGTGTCTGATCGTTTTACTGCGGGATGAGCAACCAAATTAACAAACATTTTGCACTAATTTGGATATTGCAATTGCAATGTTTGGTGTTAAAGGCATACTGTCGTTTGGAAATTTTTACTTACAGATTCGTCCCAGGCCCTCAAAATTTTTAGGCGAGGCTTTTAAAAATAACTTCTTGATCAGCATTGTACGTGTTATTAAATTAACGGAAAGTAAGTAAAGATGCGTCTTATAACACTTAAAACATATATTTACGCTTATACTGTTACCCACAAGACGGTAAATAAATATACAAAAGATGGTAAGTGGTGATCGATTTCGATTGGACACTCCAATCATCATCAGACCCAATAGGCGAATGTTTAATATCGCCAACTATACTTTTAAACTATACTTTTTTTGGCTCTTAAAAGTAAATATAAATCGGCCCCCTTAAAATGAGAAGAATATCTATGACAAATGCATTCACTTTCTTCACACTTTTAAAATGCTTATTTTTTACGCTGCCACTGAAGCAAATCAAATCCAATATGTTGCATGGCCCACTAGTATGTGTATGTACATACTAGTGTAAACCATTGATTAAGAAGAGTAAACCATACTACATACCTACATACTAGTGTAACCATTGTTATGAGAGTAAAGCATTGATTATAATAGAAGTATAGTTATTCATAGCCTTTTTTTGGAGAAGCTCTAAAGAAATTTATGTATTAATTCAATATTCACGGCCCTTTATGAGAAAGGCAAGAGGAAAACAGATATAGTACCGAATACATCCTTCCTCCAGTAGAAGCTCCAGTAGTTGGCATGGTATCAGTATTTTTGAAACTCTCTGGCTCTGGCTCTGGCCCTGTACAAAATTTCACAGACATATTTGTGAATGTCAACGAAGCGTGGAGTGCTGCATTCTTCAGCGGTTTCGCAGCTATCCTGACTGGCTACCAACAGCGCCCTTTGGGGATGTATTAACATTCCAAATACTGAATTACCTACCTTCAACAAAAATTGAACATGAATTATGAAAACCTTACATTGAAGAACATTGTCAAAACTAAACCATTCCATGTCCATGCTTGACCACAGCCATTCCAGATAGTATTTCATGTTAAAGTATTTATAGTTAACGTTAAAGAAATCGTTGTTCAAAACTCTTTAGCAATTCGTAAATAAAATACTTATTTATACTAATAATCTTATAAAGTTATCTAAACTTATAAAAGTCAAATACTACTCACTGACTCACTTATCACTATATCTCAAAAACTACTAGCCATAAAAACTCAAGAATTGGCATGGAGATTCCAACCAACTTCTAGGTGTGCAATAAGAAGGGTTTTCAAAATGTTCCATCAGGCTCTGCCCCAATGGCATTTAAAGTTCCCATGTGAGGTGAATATAGTGGATATTTTTAGCTAGAAGTGGTTAAGGTAAAGTTAAATATCTTTGAGGATGAACCTTTGTTGGCTGTTAGTTAGTAGTTTGTGTGATCATGTGTTCATACATGCCAACTTTTGAGGTTAAATCAAAGCAAACAAACTGGAACAACAAACTTTAGGGTATTGTATTTCTTTCGAAAGTCTGCTCATTCAACATAAAACGAACTTATTTAGTTATTTAGTTTTTATTTAGTTACTTGTAACTTATTTAGTATATTTCATTGTGAAATTTATTAGAAAACATTAAGTATTTAGGCTACAGCATTTATAAAACAAACTCCAATCTTGCTTCCTATAACATTGCCTGTTTGGTACCTGGTGAACTTATCTGCACTTTGGCATTAGTGAATGATTTAGCAATAGCTGTAAATAAGGTCAAAACGTTAGTCTATGGATTATACCGCCATCTAGAGAGTATTTCATTCTGGCCCCTAACTTGAAACCATTAACAGTTAGTGTTCGTGGTAGGTATATATTTATATGTTAAGAGTTCCAAACGAAACTTAAATCATCATTAGGTACCAAACTTTTATCATGTGTATCCCAGTCACAGCAATTATTCATTACAATAGTTAATTTTGGAATTAGGAATCACATCTCTATTTCACAGTAAATATTCTCTAATGACCAAGTGATTTTATAAAAGTATAGTTAAGATTAAAGTATATTTAGCTATTGTCAATTCCATGAATATGCCAGAACACATGATAGCACTACAACTAAAAAGGTCAATCTTCAATGATATTCCACCACACCTTAACCGCTTCTAGCTAAAAAGACCCCTGCCGCAGCAAACCTGCAGACTAAGCAAATTTCCATTTGACTGAATTGATTTTCAATTAAATATATTTAAACAACATTAGGTTTAACGAGTACCTAGGTTTGCTGCTACAAGGAAACTTATAACGTGTGTTTTTAGCAAAATATTAACAGCTTGGTATAAAATAAATACATTTGCTAAGTTTTAGCGAATTTCCCATATAGGGAATAAGCTATTACCGTAGTACTCATGGTAAGACCTGGACGCGGGACCGATTTTTTTTTTCGTTTTGAGGTCCCTAGAGGCCAAAAACACCATCCGTTCAAATTCATATATATATATATATATATATATATATATTTATATATATATATGTGTCCGTTAGCACCATAACTCGAGCAAAAATGATCCGATTTTGATTAAATTTGGTACAAACGTGTAAACCTACGTTTATTCGAACGAGTTCGCGATCCAGCATGATCGGACCATGGGAACGGGGGTTTACGGGGGGTTTTATGGGGTAAAAATAGGTTTTTCCCATTTTTGACCCAAAAAACATAAAATTTAGCAATTTCTTTCAAAACCATTTTGTAGAGCTTAAAAAAACAAATAATTTAGTATATTGAAGCGTTATTATGCGCCTAATGGTTACGGAGAAAATTCAAAAAAATTTAAAATTTAAAATTCCCATGTTATTCTTATGGAGAATAAGTAAACTAGGTTGTAGTTTGCTTGTTTATGAACATATTTTGATCAAATTTGGAAAACGTTTTAATTTCTTACTAACTATTAACATTTTACAAAAAAAGCAGTTTTACCCTCCCTGATGCAGCAAACCTAAGTACTTGTTAAACTAATTCTATTTAAATTGGGAATAAATGTTATATTTTTAAGTAGACATTTCAGTGTAAATCAAATCAGTCAAATGGAAATTCGCTTAGTCTGCAGGTTTGCTGCGGCGGGGGTATTATAAAAATATATCAATAAACAAGCCAACTAAAACACCTTGCAATATTCCCTTCGAGAACAACATAGGAATTTTAAATTTAATTTTTTTTAAATTTTTTCGTTACTAATAACCAATGTACAAAAAACACTTTAATGTACTAAATTATTTGTTTTTAAGCTCTTTAAAAAGGTCTATAGAAATTGGAAAAATTTTTGTTTTGAGGGTCAAAAATGAGAAAAATCACTTTTTTACCCCATAAAACCCCGTTCCCATGGTCCGATCATGCTGGTTCGCAAACTCATTCAAGTTCATCCCGCCTTATACCTTCAAACCAAATTTCATAAAAATCGGACAGAAATTACTCAAGTTCACGCGTGATATAAAAATTTAAACGAATGGTGTTTTTGGCCTCTGGGGACATAAAAATGAACAAGTAAATAGGTCCCGGGCCTAGGTCTTACCTTTCCACCTACGGTAATAGCTACTTCCCTATAGGGAAATTCGCTAAAATCCAACTACTTACATTATTTTTGTGGCTTGAAAAAATGTTTTGCCGGATTACACATTTTTAAAAGTTAAATGAATTAAAAATCAAGATGTGTAGGCCCTACTCTATTTTTGTTGTTTTTAAGA